GCGAGATTTGCTAGGCCATAAATATTCACACTAGGCGTGAGGCAATGAGCAGCGATCAGGGCTTCCACCTTCCGCCAATCAATGGAACAATTTTTTCGTAGAGCCTTTTAAAACGAGGCTGCGAATAACAGCAAACGTCACTGATGAAGAGATCCGGATGAGGTCCGAAAGTTTTGTGTAACTTTCAAGAATTTTATGATGAAGGATATTTCTCTGTGAAATCGTCATGTTCAACAGCTAATTCTTCATTCCTTCAGGGATAAAAATTTTGATAGAGGTGAATGTGCGCAGAGCTCCCACTGTATTAGACTTTATATCCATGATTAGGTGACTAGGCTAGCTATGCCGCCCCGCGCTCGCAATCAAAGTTTTCAACTGGTAATCTGTTTGAGAAGCCAAGGATCCAACGATGGTCACTGGACGGCTGTCAGAGTTCCGTTTTTGAAAGAAAGCTTTAAGGGCGGGCTTGAATTGAGGGTTCATCATTCCATAAACCACAGGATTCAAACAACAAGTTAAAAATACCAGATAACTGGAGATCATGAGCGGCAAACCCAAACCTTGTTTTCCAGCAGCAAATATTATAATAAGCACTGCTTTTGGGAGCCAACAGAGCACCACAACGCACGCCATCCCGAGTGTTGTATGAATACACATATTTTCAGCGTTGTGGGCATTTTGGCAGGCAGCTCGATTAGCCCGCGTGCAGATCTGAATCCTGTTTTTACGAACGGTATTGTATATTTTATAGTAACACCAGCAAATGATGTAGGGAGACGGTTGCGTTATAACCAGAAATGCCATATAGGACACATTCAGAGAATCAAAAGACCAGTCGTATGCACAAAGACCGGACTGTGAGTCGTACATATACTCACCCCACCCGTAAAGGGGAGGGCTAGAGATAGCCAGTGGAACGATCCAACACAGAGCAATCAAACGTTGAAGCCTGTTTTTCTTCCTTTCAAAAACGCTGGAAAAAAGTTGAGGTTTTACAACCTTAAAATACCTGCTGACAGCGATGAGCAAAAGCGAATAAAGGGTCGCGTTGGCCATGGCAACAAAGAGACATCCGGAAATGCTACAGATCACTTTTCCAAAGATCCAGCGTCCCTTCACCAAGTTCGTTATCCAAAGGGGCATTATAAAAAGTGTCTCCACCAAATCGATGACACACAAGTTGGCTATGATCTTGTTGATGAAGGTTTTGAGGTTGGAGTTCCTCCTGATGACGTAAAGAACGATCGAGTTGGTAAGAACGGAGGCAGCAAAGACGAAAGTAGCAAAAAATGCCTCGAGAGCAATTTCAACATTTTTTCGCCCAAGTGGGTCACCGTTTGAAGTTGCATTAGAGCTTTGCTCATCTCCCATCGTTAAGTGTCAGATTTCCTGTAAACAAATAATGAGAATCGAAAACATTACTGAATAGACAAAGGACAAGATTCAACTTTAAAAACATGAGAGGACTTGTCATTTAAGTTCTTATAGAACAAATGATATTTTTACCTGTAAAGCTACGTGCAAACGGATGCAACAACTCCCAACATTGTTGGGCAAAATGTTGGGAGTTGCTGCGTCCGTGCTAGCAGTGGTGTGCAAACGGATGCAGCAACTCCCAAAAATGTTGGCACCTGCAGTGCATCGTGGGATGGATACAACCCATAAGACCTTGTAAACCACGTGTAATACGCGTGCGTGGCCCCAACAATGTTGGAAGAGTTGTGCAAACGGATCCAACATTGTTGCGCTACGTTTTGGCGATCACGGAACAAAAGAAATGTTGTGGGTTTTTGGCTCCAAAGTTTGACTAGTTTCAAACTTTGCGCAACAACTCCCAACAACACGCAACAGCATGCAACAGGGTGTGCAGACAGAGGCAACATGTAACATCCAACAATGTTGGAAGTTGCTGGCCAACAATGTCGAGTCCGTTTGCTGGGGCTTAAGATATAAGCCATACAAGAATCTCAACCTCAGAATGAACAAAATAATGAATAAATGATAGCCATTTTGTGGGATCCTTAAATAATTTGAACGAAGGCCTAGGTACAAGTTACATACTAGGTATGCGGGTCGCTAGCGACAGATAACAACTGCTACAGCAGAACTCCGGTTAAAGGGACAGGTTCACGGTTCAGCGCATGCTCATTTATCAAAATTCTGTTTTTCTGCCGGGAATAACGCAAGCAATATTAATATGTTGTCAAAGAACCAATCTGCACACTCCCCTGGCAGTCACTTGCACTTGATCAACTTAAATATTTGCAAGTAGCTGTAAATTAATCAACCATGGAGCTCGGACGTCGAAGGCGAGAACCTCTAGAGATAATCAAGGGCACGTTTCCCCGAGGCCGGAAGATTTTGAAATATGGGATCTCTGAGGTAGCATTTTCAGCCTTCTGAGAGAAGTTTCCAGCAATTTCTAAAAGACTAAAATCATTCATCAGATTTTTAACTTCACGTTATGTGCTCCTTATTTAACAGGTGATGCAAATTGAGT